TTTGGGTTCGTTGTAGGTATCGAGACAAATTGAACAAGTAACCTGTTGCTTGAGGTTTTTCAACAGAGCTTCCATCACTAGGCGACGCTCGTTCAGTGAAGCTTGCGAGACACAGTTGCATCAAGATGAAATTTTAGTTTGCGAGAAAACCGAATACGGTCTCTGTGGGGCCAGTTAATTAGAAGTCATAATTGGCTTGTCAGTGTAACCTTTTGGTTTGTCTTTCGTCACATAATTAAAATGCAAGATCCTAGATCTGACCTTTACTTTGAGAGAATTCTCAAGCTAATTTGCGCTTCAAAGTAGCCGGTGAAATGCAATCGTTCACAGACTACATAAGTTAAAAGGAATTTACTTCATCCCTGGTTATGCTCCTTAATTTTGAACTAACGGAATCCTGAAGTGTGCATAACCATCACGACTTTTCGTTTCCTCTGGTCAATCAAATTGCAAGAAAGAGGTTGCACTGAATTGGCTGAGCTCGTTTGTAATCTAAGGTTGTTGTTCTGTTGTGTAATGAAAGTGATATTGTTGTCTGTTTCGAGCTCAGTCTTGAGACGACCAATTAAACTACTTTAATTTCAGTTATGCAACGAGTAAAAATTGACAGTCCCTGGCTTAGCGACGAGGCTCTCTGCAAATTTATAAATATAGATACGCAAGGCGTACATTTTTTACTTCCGGAAAATTGGCCACTTTAGGGCAGTTTCGTCACTAATTGTTTGCCTTTTTTTTTACAAGAACCGACGCACCGGCCGAAGAGAAGGAGAGCTGAAAACACAACTGAGCATTTTTCAAGTCGTTCCAGATAATTGTATATTTTTTATGAGTCAGCTTTACTGGATGTAATTAACATTTATAGAATCAAATCTTCTATAAATAATAAATATTTGCAGGCATCTCAATGTCGCGCATCATCTTGTGACTAAAAACACAGTTTGTATCGTTTAATTGAACTGTGAAATTGCTTCCAATAAATTTGGAAGGGATTTCAAATTATGAGTTCCCTCAGACAAAGGAAACTTTGGCTTCACAGGCATCTGTAAATTTTAATTATTAAGAGTTTTGTTCCCGACACTAGCTCGATAAAGCGATACCAACCGTGTTCTGGTTTGGACGCAAAAGTTGGCGTTTGTGGCAGTGGCACAGATTTGCAGCTGAGTTTCGTTATATAGCTGCAAGAGGCGGTCTATATTCATACAATTATCATCTAAGCTCATGAGTGTAAGTGAAGCCTTGGAGCCGACTGGCTCATAGCTGCCGGAGTTTATCCCGGTTTCTGTAGCATGAAGCGGCTAGGAGTATTTCTACTCCCCCTGGAGGGGATGCTAGTCCATCGCAGTTCACCACTGTGAGAGTTAAATGTCTTGCCCAAGAACACAACACCGTGTCTCCAGCCAGGGCTCGAACCTGGACCGCTCGCTCCGGGGACGAGCGCACTAACCATGAGGCCACCGCACCTCCAGCCTCATGAGTGCTTAACAATAACGGCCTGGGACATGCGTTCAGCTTTGAACAAATCATTGTTAGTGTAAATCTACTAGCGTTCTATCACGAATGCTGTTCTGTCTTATTGGCTACGCTACTCACTATCTATTCTGTTGAAGATCGTGAGTAACCTAACAGTGTGTGGTTTTTACCATAATAGAGTGTCTGTGACGAGGATTCTAAACAAATTGCATGTAGTCGACCAACAGTTAATTATTAAAACAATCAGATTATTCGCTCTCGATTTCTATGCGTCATAATTGACTCGGACCGCGCCCTTATCATCTATAACGCAATAGAAATCTTAAGCTCAAAATGTAATTGCAGTTAAGTAGATAATATGTGTTTTTCATTCACCGGAATATTAAACTGTCTAAACTGAAAGCAACTGTTGAAAGTCTCTGTACTGAACTAAGTGAAATCGGCTCTCATCAATTCAAGTCATGTACGGTCACTCTAAGTCATGACTATATTTTTGAAATGCTTGGAGACCAGAAGCAGAACCAAAACAGATCTAGCTGCGGACATACAAATATCGCTATCAGATTAAAGTTTAGCAGAAATCATGATGAAACATTAGCCTTTCATGAACTGCGTAAAAACTGTCTGTGTCAGTGTCATAGTTTTGGTATTAAAAGCCCTGATGCGTGAGTTTGGGAGCTGCACTAGAATTTTTTAATGCACTAAGTTCTGTATTTCCTCTCTGGATACCTTTAGCCTGTTAAAGAGAAGTAATATTATCCACATAAGACGCGATATTTAACTACATTGGCTGTGAAGGAATACTTGCAACGGTGATGAGTATCGTAACAAATTATTCGATTTATAGGGGTTAAAAATCTGGAATGACGCAGCTGAAAACTAATACGAAGCGGGGATAAGCTGGAAAAGAAAAAATAAATGGAATTAACCCATAGATGGAAGCCGTTTCCTGTGTGCTCACATTGGTATTAGCTCGCGATCGCGTAGGACGCCTTTTCGTCTCTTCCCAAACTACCGAGTTTAAATCCAAGATGACGCTCACTCGATCAAATTGCGCTCGCTCGCAAAAATACGCTAGCTGTATTGCAGGCTACATAAATGGTTGTATAAACAGGAACGATTTAACCTCACGCATTTTCCTTTCTGCTCTTTAAAAGAGAACAAACGAAATAAAATAGTTGGATATATAATTATATAACCATTTTATTAAAAAATACGTAAGTTTAGCAATTAAATGTTTGAAAATTCATTATACTAAGCTACAAATGGCGACATAAATAGTTGAGACATTTGGCGGAATTGAATACTAATTGCATTATTTCCATTATCCATTACGCATTCGGTTTACATTGAGAACCACCTCCAGCCCCTCCTTTTATTGAAAGAGGCAGACAAGTTTAAGGTAACAGAAAATCTAACATTGTTATTGGGGAGGGGCTAGTATCATAGAGGTGAAGAGTGAAATTCGTCTAAAGTACTCCAAAATAACAAAGCGTCGCAACACTTCTCTCACCCATCGTAGTACTGTCTAGTGTTCCAATAGGTTTGTAAGCAATAATAGCTTCCTTCAGTGCTTAACAAATATACGAACTAACATATACAACACATGCTTCTCGTGTAAATTGAAGTTGTAAAAAAAACATTTTCTACTAAAGCTTTCAATTGTCATATCAATTGGAGACTCAGTCACAGCGGATTTAAAAGGGGTGGAGGGAGGGGGGTGGATTGGGTGGCTAGCCATCCCCTTTCGGAGAAGCAAAAGATACAAAGAAATTGAAAAAGATTGTGAATATTTTGCCAAACGCTTGGCAGGTAACTCATTGCAATTTCTATTCTGTGGCGTTGCTAATATTTCTAGTATAACAGTATTAAATTACCAGATTTTTCTGCTTTTCGTGCCAAGCTTGTGTTTGCCAAATTTGCATAATCACTGATCACCGAAATCACGAGATCGTTTTACTCGACAAAGCAGCTCATGACGAGAAACCCAACATCACGTCTGGCGCTGAAATGATCAACGAAGGGGTGAACAACCTTATTGAAGTGATTCGACAATTTGAAGAAACGGCTATTAAGTTGGAAAACAATGTCGCAACCGCTAAACGGGAAGTGTCGCAAGCTGCTGGGCAGATGATCGAAGTGATTCGAGAGCGCGAGCGCGAGGCGATTGTATCACTCGAGACAATACGCGTGACGAGACTTGGGAGAATTGATTTCGCCATCCAGGAAGCTCAGTCTCTGCTCAAACAAATGAAGCAAGCGGTTGAGTTTGCTAAAAATCTGACAGAGAGAAGCTCAAGCTCGGATATCATGAGGAACAAGGAAACTTTGAAGCAGCGATTTGAAGTGTTGCGTGAAATTGAAGTTCCAAAACATGATGAGACCTCATTCGTCAAATTTACCGCTGCCTCTGTAAAGAACTTGAAGTTAGGTTTTATTGAGACAATTCCAAAGGTACAGGCAAATCGATCAAAGCTTGAAGGACTGAAGCAAACTCTTCAGGCTGGTGTAGAAGCAGTGTTTACATTATGCCTCAAAACCTCTNCCGTCCTTTTAGTGAAAGGGGCAGGCAATTTTAAGATAACAGAAAATCTAACATTGTTATTGGGGAGGGGCTAGTATCATAGAGGTGAAGAGTGAAATTCGTCTAAAGTACTCCAAAATAGCAAAGCGTCGCAACACTTCTGTCACCCATCATAGTACTGTCTAGTGTTCGAATAGGTTTGTAAGCAATAATAGCTTCCTTCAGTGCTTAACAAATATACGAACTAACATATATAACACATGCTTCTCGTGTAAATTGAAGTTGTAAAAAAAAAACATTTTCTACTAAAGCTTTCAATTGTCAAATCAATTGGATACTCTGTCCGCAGCGGATTTAAAAGGGGTGGGAGGGGAGGGGGGTAGATTGGGTGGCTAGCCATCCCCTTTCGGAGAAGCAAAAGATAAAAAGAAATTGAAAAAGATTGTGGATATTTTGCCAAACGCTTTGACAGGTAACTCATTGTAATTTCTACTCTGTGGTGTTGCTAGTATTTCTAGTATAACAGTTTTCAATTAGGTTGCATATGCCTCATTAATTCTGCAACCCCAAGGTACCAGCCAACTCCCCCGTCCCCGCCTCTCCTTTAAAACTCCTGGATCCGCCCCCGTGAGCTACAAACCAGGGCCGTAGCCAGAAACAAATTACGACTGAGGCAATGTCCAAGAAATGGGTTGTGACTGAGGCAATGTCCATGGTTTAATTCTCTTCCTGGGAATTTAGAGTGTTTTTGATGACTATAAACAACAAAAACGAAAAAAATGACTGAGGCAAGTGCCTCGGTTGCCTGTTGCTAGCAACGGCCCTGCAAACATTCGGCATGCTCGAAATTTCTGTCAAATATATTCCTCATTAAACAAACGTCAAATTACCTGAAAATAGAGACATCTCTCGCGTTTAATTTTCCATATTAAGGCGAAACTAAAAAATAACGTTTTTTAGAAAGTAATATATTTTACTATTTTACACGATCTTCTCTTTTCTAAATTTGAAAGCCCTTATATTGTCATTTCTTAGATTTGCTAATCTTCCACTGAATTTGACCATACATTGAGATATAAAAGCATCATGAATGCTAAAAAAAGATGAAAAAACGTTGCATAACATTGTCATCATAGAGACCACTAAATTTATAAAAAAAAGTCTTGAGCATGCTACATGCTACAGGCTATCATGGCTATTGAAATATCTACTTCAGTATGTATACTGCCTTAGATGAAGTTACGAGAATACGTCCATCTGGCGCTGTTGCTATTCCAAGAGGACGTGGTAAATCAGTGATAGTTTTGCCTGTGAAGCGACCGTCTAAAGAAAACTGCTGAACTCGGTTATTGTTCATATCACATACAAGAAGATTATTGGAGCTGAGTAGAAACATATCAGTCGGATAGTAAAATTGTCCGTCTTGATTCCCTTGTTTCCCAAACTTGTACAAGAAAGTTCCTTACTGACTGAAAACTTTAAGGCAGTTATTGCTCACTTCACATAATAGAAACTTGTTTTTGTAAGGAATACAACTCACTGGAATATCGAGTTTCTCTGGACCACTGTCTCCAAATATGGAAATAGTTTCTCCATCCTTCGACAACACTTGTATTCTTTGACCGCAACCTTCGGTTACAACAATGCGTCCTTCATCATCTACACAAACGTCAACTGGATGCTTAAACTCTCCTTTCCCTGCGCCATATTTTCCAAAGCATTTCACAACAGTTCCTGTCTGGATATTTATTTGTTGTATTCTATGATTCATTTCCTCTGCAATTAGAATCTCGTTGTCGTTTACAAACGAAACACCACTTGGATTGGTAAATTGTCCACGATTTGCCCCTTTGCCACCAAGTTTCCTTAAACAGTTACCATTTTTATCAAATACATAAACACAGTGGCCATTGTAATCTGTCACAACTATCTTACCCTCTGTGTTAACAGCGATTCCATACAATCTCTGAGGCACGTCTCCTGGGAAGAATTTTAAGTCCAACCCGCCAACGACAACAAGTTTACGTTCTTTCACCTGCACTGTGAAAGGACAGGTTGGAAGTTTATCGCCATTGATCTTCACTTCAATTCTGTAGGCGCCCGGTACTTTGGGAGTAAATTTCAGCTCAAGATTACCGTCCTCCTTCTCGCTAACAAACACATTTGCAACATCTTTAGCGGGTTCAATCAGAAATTCAACTTGATCTTTCAAATCAGCCTGGCTACTTGTCTTTCCTTCAGAGGTTTTGAGGCATAATGTAAACACTGCTTCTACACCAGCCTGAAGAGTTTGCTTCAGTCCTTCAAGCGTTGATCGATTTGCCTGTGCCTTTGGAATTGTCTCAATAAAACCTAACTTCAAGTTCTTTACAGAAGCACCGGTAAATTTGACGAATGAGCTCTCATCATGTTTTGGAACTTCGATTTCACGCAACTCCTCAAATCGCTGCTTCAAAGTTTCCTTGTTACTCATGATATCCGAGCTTGAGCTTCTCTCTGTCAGATTTTTAGCAAACTCAAGCGCTTGCTTCATTTGTTTGAGCAGAGACTGAGCTTCCTGGATGGCGGAATCAATTCTCCCAAGTCTCGTCACGCGTATTGTCTCGAGTGATACAATCGCCTCACGCTCGCGCTCTCGAATCACTTCGATCATCTGCCCAGCAGCTTGCGACACTTCGCGTTTAGCGGTTGCGACATTGTTTTCCAACTTAGAAGCCGTTTCTTCAAATTCTCGAATCACTTCAATAAGCTCGTTCACCCTTTCGTTGACCATTTCAGCGCCAGACATGATGTTGGGTTTCTCGTCATGAGCTGCTTTGTCGAGTAAAACGATCTCGTGATTTCGGTGATCAGTGACTATGCAAATTTGGCAAACACAAGCTTGGCACGAAAAGCAGAAAAATCTGGTAATTTTTTTCTCGTGGAACTGCTCTGAACAAAATGGCTGTCGCTTCAGCAAGGCTTCGAAATCTTCTGCTTTAAACTCCTTGACTGGGGTGACTCTGTGTCCTTCGAACGACTCACTCAGCATTTCGTGTGCGTTGTAACAGTCTGGGCACATAAACYKTCCACAGTCAAAGCAATAGWACATCTGGGAGTTGTTTTTCTTACATTGTGAACAAGTAATGTTACTTCCGTCGCCAGTCCGTCGAACGGCAAGGAGACTCAACAAACTGTTGTGGAAAAAACTGGTCGGCAAAGTGTCGAAACGATATCCTTCGGGCAGATCGATTTGGGCTTGACACTCTGGACAACGGAACTTTCCTTGTTTGTGGCTGTCTCTTGCATGATTCTCTAAACACTGACAGCAAAATGTGTGTAGACATGAGATAGTTTTGGGTTCGTTGTAGGTTTCGAGACAAATCGAGCATTCAAGATGTTTCTTGAGGTCTTTCAAAAGGGACTCCATCGCCAGGCGTCACTTGTTTAGTGAAGCTTGCGAAATAGAACTGCATTAAAATTATATTTTAGTTTCCGAGAAAACCGAATTAATTAACGTCATAACTGTCTGCTTGGAGCCAATCAAATGTCAAAAAATTAGTTCCGTATCTCATCAGTTACACATTATAAATGCAATATCTTGACCTGATAACGAATTTATTTAGGAGTCAAATGCAATCGTTTCGACAATTCTTAACAAACATAGCTCCATCTTTATCTCGAGAAAACTGAATTGATATTTGCCACAGTCATTACGAACTTTTTTTATTTTACTAGCTGGCCAATCAAATTACAAAAGGTTGGCTGAGCTCCATTGTAACCTTAGATTGTTGATCTGTTGCGTGTCATTGTTGACCGCTGGAAATTTTGTTTCGAGACGAATAAACTATTTGTACGTTCAAATTGATTGATTCTGCCATGCGTCAAGCGACATTATAAAGATAGGTACGCAAGGCGTGCACATCACCTGCTTATTTTTTTTTTTAACAAGAACCAACAAATTCGCCGAAGGAAAATAAATAAGCACAAATGTGATTGAGCTGAAAGCTTGATTAGACACTGTTTTAGCTCCAACATCAAGTTCCATCTGTAAAATATATATTTGTAGTTACAGTTGAATCTCTTCACAACGGCCACCTTAGGGACAGAGGAAAGTGGCCGTTGTATAGAGGTGGCTGTTATGGGTGTAAGTAGGTAAGGCTGTTATGGGTGTAGGTAAGGGTGTAAGTAGTCTTATCCTCTACACTACATCCATTTTGACAGGTATTCGCCAGGTGATGTCATCAATCAAAGTACCGCTCATTCGCATATGTAGCGGTTCTGATTGATCCGTTTGAAAAAATACTACTTTTTTGGGTGGATTAGCGATAGTTGGTTGTCACGCAAAGGGAAAAAGTAACGCCACACAAGAAATGTGTTTCGAACAACTCTATTTAACAAACATTTCCTCTTATGTTACAAGCGGGACGTGTGCGAGTTCGGGTTTTGGAAGTTCTTAATGTCATTACAGGGCTGTGAAAACAAACAGTGCCCGTAAGTGTGTTTCTAAGTAATACAATTAAAAGTTGTGGTTTTAGCAATGTTCTATCTTTTGTCTATGTGGACTCCAGGGTATCGTTAGACCTCATTGGTAGATTAAAGGACAAATTCAGAAAATCTTAATCCCGGAATAGATGAAGAGTCTGACCTCCTACCTGGACAAATAAAGCAACAAAGAAGTGTCAAAAACTTTGATTGTACGTTGTCGAGACCTAACTAGACCAAAGCAGTTCATTGTCCATGTATTTTGACTCTGAGGATTTGATTTCTTTTGAATCCTCTCAGGACTTAATTTTTTTTTGACACTTAATTAACATATCAGTAATAATTTGCATTTATGATATAATGGCTGGCAAACTTTTGAACGGTTAAAAGGATAATTCTGATTGGTTGCCTGAGCTTTCCGAATTTACCAATACGAACCGCTAAGATGGACCGCTCACGAATAATTTTCGGAGGTTTTCTTTTTCTAACTTTACTCTCAAAAAAAGAACAATTTTTTCTTAAGTAGAAATCTTTTCGCATCATGTTTGGCGAGCGGCAAGTTCGGTCCCAATTTCCTTCCAGAAAAAGAACTCGAAGTATTCTGAATGCAAACCGAACTAGGTTGTTCAATCAGATACTCGCTGCTTTTTATTATATCAAGCCGAGTTGAAGGAATAATGGGAACGGTCACCAAATAAAAGTACCTTTCTGACAACTGGAACTACAAAGAGAGCAAAGAGCTTTAACCAAAACACACCTGGGCCCTCTGCACATAAATTAATCTTGGTTACGTTTTTCTCCTTGTTAATGGGAAAATATGCCATTCAAGGAAACGAAAACAGTTTTCGTGTTGCTATCGAGTTTTAGCATTGTAGAATTCTGGTTGTACGCTAATCTGATTGACTGAGCTGTCGTACACTATCAGCCATTAGTAGTATTCTAATAGTATTCTGTAATGCAAATGTTGTAAACTGATTGGCTGAGCTACTCGTACAGTTATCAGCCATTGGTGTGCAATGGCTAGAGGTCGTCTTCAAAATGGCAACGTTTTTTTATTTCTTTGATGTTACGAGGACGATTTAGAAATACAACTGAATAATTCAATTCTCAAGAGCACTTAGGAAAGAATATTTACCGTTATGCGATCCTCTTCAGAACCTCAGAAAATTTTCAATGAACTGATCATGACAAATGCGCAATTAGAAGTGCAAGTTTCAAATAACAATTCAGTCCGCGCGACGCTAAAGGTAACAAAAATTATTTTAAAAAACGTTTTCTACGATATTGTCGTTTCT